AGCAAAAAAAAAATAAAAAATTAGGAATTTTCTTTTTTTCCCTATATATCAACCCAATAGAAAAAAAAATAAAAAATTGACTCCCTTGGCTCCACTGTGGGACTCAACACTGTATCCGCTTCACAAGAATGTGACTCAAGTTTACAGTGTCATTGACAAGATTCTTTTCGAAATGTTAATAAGATTCCATATTAACAATTTGTTAAAAATTCCAAATAAAAAATATGTTGTTTTGACAGATACTAGGTTCCTTCCTTTCAAAGGAATTGAATTAAATAAGCTGGACTTCATCATGAGCCAGGAGTGATAAATAGAACTAGTTTTCTTCTCAATTTAACCTGTTGAAGTTAATCATTCAGCTCATTTTTAGATCGAGAATGGAAAATGAAATTGAAGATACTAGCAGAGAACAAAAATTGAAAAACAAAAAAAACAATCTACAATTACACGAAGCAAAGATCATAGTCATATCCGAACAGATCATTTTGTTGTAAAGACAAATGAATTTGGCCATACACAAGTGCTTTTCCAATCCAATCACAGCTCAGTTTCCTGTATAATAAAATAAAAATAGCATGTGAGGCTTTCCCCTCAAAAGCCAACATTCAGTTATTGTTATTAAAACAGCTACATATGATCATTTGTTAAATGGAGAAACTTTAAAGGTTATTAAACGTTCATAATGAGAAATTTTCATTAATAATCTAATTTAGGAGTTAAGAAATATCTCTGCAGAGAACTCACAAATCCCACAACATTTACAATTCATTTCAAAATAAATAACAAAAAAAGGGATCATAATGAAGAGAAGAATGACCTACCCAAAGAAATTCGCTGTCGATATTATATCCAAGCTGCACCATATTAAGCTTTTGCGTAGTCCATGCCATTGCGTTTGCGTTTATTAGATCTTGAAAAGCAGCATATTTGAGCCCAAGATTTCTTTTGATTCACTGGTTGTGACTTCACATCCCTCTGAGCAACAAGATTAGCCATGTATTGAACAACAGCCTGAAATGGAAATAACCTCAATTAATCCTAACAACTTCTGGAAAAAAAGGAAAGAAGCATAAAGAAGAAACTGCAGATGAACTGAAGTAACACAAGTGTCAAACACAGATTACCTGTGCTCCGTTCTCAATGATATTTCTAGGCGGCACAGCCAGAGGATTTCCCTCAACATTCAAGACACGTAGTCGAGTTAGCATTCTGAAAGAATCCGGTAGGGATCTAATTTGGTTGTTGCTCATATCCAACTCCTCTAGACTCTCAAGGTTCCCAATAGACCTTGGCAAAAACTGCAGGTCTGCAAAATTATTGCTTATGTTCATCTTTACAAGTGTTGTAGCAAAGCACAGACTCTCTGGGACCGATTCAAGCTCATTGAAACTAACATCAAGCTCCCTCAAGCTTGATAAGGATGCCATTGTGGTTGGCAATTGTTTGATATTATTGTAACGCACTGTCAGTACTTCCAAGGATCCAATTTTTCCTACAGCTTCAGGTAGAGCTTTAAGTCGGTTATAGTCTGCATGAAGGTGTTCGAGTGAAGTACATCGACCAATAGTATGAGGGATTTCCTCAATATCGTTAGTTTCAACATTCAATTTCTTGAGACTGACAAGTGATCCAATAGTCTCTGGGAGAACCATTATCCCATTTGAGCTTAAATCAAGATCTTGAAGCCGAACTAACTTACCAATAGTAGGAGGCAGTGTTTTTAGTTGGTTTCCACTCAGGTTAAGATGGACTAAATTAAGCAAATCCCCAATGGATTCTGGCAATTCGCTGATTTTGTTTCCATGTAAATCCAACATTTCCAGCGATGATAGTCGTCCTATTGTCTCTGGTAACACCAGAATTCGATTATCTGACAAATTCATATTTATCAAACCAAATAGCTTCCCTATTGAATCGGGGAGCCATTCAATTTGTTCAGCCAATTTATGCTGAAGATTGAGCTCCCGAGTTCCTTTCTTTGCTGATACTTCAATCAAACTAGCAAGCTTTATTAAACTCATTTTATCACCGTCTTGTCCTACAAATCAAAACAATTGATGCAACATTAAATTGAAAATCCACTAAATAAATATAAACACATATCAAAATTGGCAATTCAATAAACATCCACTAGTCCCCTTGCAGCAAATTAAGTCAAACTTACCTGAAGTAATAGCCGGCTTCAGAGTGGAATCAACAATCTGGGGCCCAGTTAGAACATCCCCAGATCGAGCTCCTATCCCGAATCCATCACCTTGAAAAACAGTCTTCGTCTTCTTCAAATAACAATCGTCCTTGCTAAACAACTCAGATGCCTTTACTCGCTCCTTCTCATTATAAGAACTGGACAGGGAAGATGATTTGGTTGTGGTTGTGATTGCGGTTGGGGTTGGGGTTGGGGTTGTCAATGTTGCCGGAGAATTGAAACTGTTAACGGTGAAGGAAGCCGTAGTTGCCAAGGACAAACTACTTGAATTCCTCGAAGAACTATAGGAAACATCGCCCGACCGTGAATTATTAGAACCCAAGCATTTGGAAGCTCTCTGAATCAAATCGTCGAACAGTAAGTGGACACCTTCAAGATCCAACAGTTTTAGAGCTTCCCTCTTTTGCTCCGCGCTCTGGAAATGGATGAAATTCCTCTGAATCTCTTGTAACACCTTGAATAATTCTTCTGGTACATCTTTGCCTTTGCTTTGCCTCGCAACTGCTTCCAGTCTCAACTGATCTTCTCTCTCCAAGTTTCGGATTAAGGTTTTTGCCGCTTCGACGTCATCGATTCCCGGTCGGCCTGGTAAGGATCTATGGATTCTCATTATCTCTTCTACAACCTGGTCTACTGTCATCACCGAGTACTCCATTATTATTTTCTTCTTCTCCTGGAATTTCTCAAAGACAATAGTATAAATATAAACCCCCGACTGTATATAAATCGAATATTATAATACTTTGATACGTAGGAATTGCCCACAGAATCCAAAGGTTGTTTTTCCGAAATTTGCATTTGAAGGAATTCCAAAACAAAGGAGAAAAAAGGTAAAATTACCTTTCTCAAAGCAAAATCAGTACTAAAGATGAACAAAACAAGAATCAAAAGTGACCTTCCCCTGTTTCTTGACAACTTTTTATAACATCAATATTAAAGTTAAAAATTCAACAAAAAATTCTTCATTCAACAACTGCTCATTACCACATTATGCGCTTCAAATCACGATTTCTTCACTGGAAAAATATTATTAATAATCTGTTTTCAGACACGAAAAAAAAAAAAACATAGAATCAATTTGATAATATGCAAAACCGTAGAATAAAATCTTACTCCTACAATGATGAATCAGAAATGTTTCTATCAATTGCTGATATTTTTGAAATCTGAGAAACAAAGGGAGAATATCTAATACATTCGATGGTAGGATTATAAATTATAAAACTTTCTTCTACTATACAAAGAATTATCCACTGGATTCTGTTGAATTTTGAATCTGGTTCATAGTGTAAATTTTGGTGGATAATTCAATATTTTGATCTAAGAATATTATTTGTACAAACAAGATATTAGCATTTCTTGTCTTTATTGCATTTTTTTATTTTGGTTTCCACGAATGCCCTTGCATTTCAATAGCTCTTAGCAAAGTGTTCAACATAATTTTATTAAATTCATTATTAATTATTCTTTAATCTGTAATATGAATTAGTCAACTTGATTAACGAAAAATAATTCAATTACATTTTTATAAAAAAATAATAATAATAATTCAAAAAAATTGTATTGTGCTAACCATAGTCTTAAGTGCTTTTACAGTTGTTTAAAATAAGTATTCTATTTCCTAATTTAATTAATAAATAAATTTACTTGTATGTGGACATTTCGGATGCCATTGGTGCACCTTATTGGAATGGCTAATGATTAATGTGATCATATCCATTGTCAAGAATAATGTTATTCATAGTCAACAGTACAATTTTCATTCTATATGATAGATTATTATTTGAAGTATTAGTTTCCTATAATTATATTGCCTCAATTAACAAGCCAATGTCTTAGTTATCAATACATTGAATGACTATTGTAATCGTTAACTAGTACTATGACAAGAATGGTAATAGAGACAATTAAACTCAATCGAGTACTCAAATTTCATTATTGACATGTTCAAAAAGTCACCATTTAGTGTGATATGTTAAGGTAAAATATCATTGATTAAATATAAAAATATTAATCAACATATAAAGACTTGTGTTACTCATATTAATAATATTGACATTTTAAGGTCGAATCCTGAATTTTAATAGAGTATCAGAGTCATTAAGCTCAAATAAGCAATCAAGTTCCAAGATTAGTGTTTTCGAACAAATCATCATATTATAGGACATGCTAAAGAATAAATCTCACATTGGTCCCAAAACAACAACAATAATAATAATAAACATTTTATATTAACTATGATTTTATTTTGTAATTTTATAAATTTTGAAATTTTAATAGAAATTGAATTTTTTAAATTAAAAAAATTACAATGTATAAAATTTGTTAGAAAATATTTGGTAAAATTACGTATAACAATAAAATTAAAAAATAGTAAAATCATTCATCTTATTAATCCCGCAACTTAGTATTTATTTAGTACACGCACAATTAATTCCTTTAAAACCATAACAATTTCAAATCAAGTATCGAAATAATTGAATTTGTTCAACTTTTTTGTACCTATGACGAATAATATTATTCAATGTTACTCGTAATTATTATCAGTTTAGATTAGATGACACTATCTCCTTTGTTTCACTGTCAAATGCGTGACATACTTCAATCGAAGGTAGGTCCCACATAATAAGCTTTTATTTAAAATCTCCTAACATGCTGCATCAATTATTTTAGGATTGATCAAATTAATTAATAAATAAACAAATGTTGTATAGAGTAATAAATGAAAGACACGTTGTGTGATCCTGTAGTCCAACCGTGAACCAGCTGGCAAAGTCACGCCATGACCGTTTCTTGAAGGATGGCTTTTTGGCAGTTCGATTGGGGTGTTTTGCTTCCATGTGGGTGTCGCCGTCACCTGTTTCCAGACCTCATTCATTGGGCCCGTTAGGGTGTTTGTTGCCATATTTAAGCTGGGCACTGCACATTTTGGCCCAGTTATGGCTCCACTTATACCAACCCAATACAAATTACTAGTATTAAATAAGGGAAAACTTCACAAATCATGTGTTAAGTATGGACAATTCAAAAACCAGGTTTAAGTATACAAATATAAAAATCAAGTATTAGCTAATTAATTAAAAATAATTATTAATTAAACATAATAAGATCAAAATTATACAATTATTGATCGCATGTACATAATTATAAGTCACAACTTATTTATTGATCACATATTATCACATTAATTGGTCATAGATTATTTCGGTGTCATAAATAAAAAAATTTATAAATCATAGTTTATTTCATTGGTCAGAGATCAAAAACATTATAGATCACAATTTATATTTCAATCACATATTTTCAAATTTGTTAGTTACAAATTATTTTTGTAGTCATAAATTATCGAGTTTTAAAGTCACATTTTAATAGTTAGTCACGGAGAACCATATATAATTGGTTACATACACCCAAACTCCCAATCTCTACCCCGATCTCAATCCCAATCTCAATCTTGATCCACCACCAATACTTAGTCACAATCAATTACATAGTTGGTCGCAAACCACTCTTCATCCCATCCTGTCCCTACCATTGCTGTCATCATAAACAATAACAACACAGCACAACGACCACCAACATCACCACCACCAACCAGATCCAAACCCAACACAAACCACATCTACTCCACAACAAATTGGTCAAACACCACTGAACACCGGCGGCACCAACACCACTGCACCCACCACCACCACCGCATCCAACCACACACTATCACCATCGCCACCAACCAGATCTAAACTCACAACACCACACCACCACAACCACCAACGATTATTGGTGTGTAAGACGAACGGCAAGGCACAGCTAGCTTGCGACATCGTTATCACCATTGCACGTAGTGCTAGATGCTGCTACTCGTGACGATTCTCTTTCGATGGTGACATCGCTGCACCGAAGATTCTCTTCCAGTGGTGGCACCACTACTGTTGAGAGAGAAGAGAGGTTAGGAAAAGAGAAGATGGGTGCTGGGTCTATCGATGTCACTATTAATTCCACACGAACAATGGATCTCTCGGTTGCGGTGGAGAGAAGGAGAAAAAGTGGGACATCATCGACGACGCTCCCAATGACGGCTTCCGGTGGCGTCATCGACGGCAATCTCCGACAACAACTTCTGATGGTGGTTTGTGAGACCAATTATTTGGGGTGGAGGGAGTGGATAGTGGTTGAGAGGGTGAGAAGAGAGAGAGTAGAATGAAATAATTAGGGTTTGGAATACTTGATTTGTGAACAATAAAACTTCAGCCCTGATTTTTGAATTGCAATCTTTAAATACTTGCTATTATGTAATTTCCACATTAAATAATAATAAACCCCTTTTGATAGAGATTAACATAGGTGTCCCCATTTCAGAGTTTAATAGATTTTGTAATATTTATAAATTCTCATGGATTGTGTAAAATTTGATAGAATTTAACAGATTTCATAAGATTTGAATGTATTTCTACTTTGTAAATTTTAAAAGATTTTCATGGATTTTATAGATTTCAATAGATTTTATACATTCTGTGTAAAATTTATAAATATGCTTAACATAAGCCACAAAAATTTACTTCTTCTTTAACAACTCATTCTTACACATGCACGTTAATAAATCACGGAAAATGATCGAATCCTTGTTCAATTGTTTGTTAAACATTGAATATTATAACAGAGCTTCAATAAAAAAATCATACCCAATATTCAACAAATTCAACAAAATGCAAGAGTGGGAGAGGAAAAAAATCTGTAGTGTTAAATAATCAAAGTCGTAATCATTATGAATTAGTTCAAAATGTCACAACCTTATGAGATACAAACACACAGATGTACACATACATGACCAGAAGGCAATTAATTCCATGCTCCAAAATTCTCATTGACCATTCAGGCACAAAAGAAAAAATTGTGGGATACCATTCTCACATGTCATGGCTAGAATTTGCATGTATATATAGAAAACACACAACTTTTCTCAAGAAAAAAGAATAGGGTACAGAACTTGAAAGACGTAGTTGTTCCAGTCTGCATACTAAGAACTGTAAATTACCATGATAATTTCTAGCACATTTATAAAATAGTAAACAATATAGAGGGTCAATAAGAAAAAATTATTTCAATAAAAAATCACACTCAATATTCAACAAAAAATAGTAATCTTTTATAAATTATCATCAATTGATAAGTTTCCATACATGATCTTTTCACAGTAGAGAAATGCGAGATAGAAAGAAGAAGAAAATATTGTTCAAGATGGGGGAAAGAGAGAGAAAGAGATAGAGGGCAGCAAATCTGGAGAGAGGAGAGAAAAGCTGTGAAATTTTTATGGTTGGGATAAAATTGTTATAGAATTTTTGTATTTATATTTTTGTCTTGAAATCCTTCAAAATCTATCTATTTAATGAAATCTTTATAAATCAACTAGTTATTGAGGACATCTAAATTTTAAAACTACCTATTAAAATCCACGTTGAAGACACCTAAATTTATGAGTATTTCTAAAAATCTAGATTGGGGACACCTACATTTTAATGAATTATATTTAAATCTGAATTGAGGATACGTCAATTTAAATGGAGTTTTAAAATCCATCAAACTCTAAATTGAGGACACCTCCCTAAATTAGATTGTTATGCAAATCTTAATAAAAGTTAATAAAATGTGTAGTTATAATTGATTATTGACTTTGACTTAAATTTTAATCAGATTTTTTAGCTTATCCAACAAGGGCTAAATAATATGTAAATAAGATTTTAATTTTCTTTTCCTTGCACTTCTAGACAAACCTTTTGAACATCTTTGCACAGACTTACGATCTTACCTTCTTTCCCCTTTGACACTGAGTCAATAGTTTAGGGGCCTTTGCAGTCATCTGAGTTGTTTCTTTCTTGACAATAAAGCTTATCCTAGATAGTCTCATTAAGATACTATTTGATGGTATAGAGTATTGTATCTTAGAATAGAATCGACGATGAAAATTATTCACCGTCGTCTCACTAAGATATTGCTCGGTGTTGGTGTATTGCACCTTAAGAAAGAAAGTAGTTGTATATAGGAGCATTTTGTTCATGCCAATAATTTCTCCAAATTGCAGTACCGGGTTTCATTGTTTAGAGCATGTTCAGCTAAGATTAATTAAAAAAAGTAACTTTGTGAAGGGTTCAAGAAAGTAGCTGCTAATATACTTGGGACAAATGGCAAAGAATAATTGATATTAATAGGGTTCGATGATTTTACTCGTTCTATTCAATTCTTTAATTAATGTTCTCGAAATCTCATCTCTCACATAAATCAGTCATGTCAAAAAAATTGAAAAAAAAAATGAAAAAAAAATAAAATCAAGAATCGATGTCCAAAGACTTGGGACGACCAGCCAGCATTGAAGTTAAGTTTGTTCAATACTTTGCCTTCATGTCTTTTA